CCATCTCCCCATCATCGTGCCCGAACGGATGAAGCTCCTTGGATTTGAAGTGAAATGTCCTCAAGGAAAAAGTCCATCTTCTTTTAACGACCCCATAATCCCTTGCGGGGTGGAGTCGGGGCAAATCCATGGAGCTAGCAGAGTGTTTTACTGGCCGGATGCCCTGCCCTGTCGCCAGTGCGGAGTTATATACGGCAGATATATTCTCATTGTATCTGCCTCTACCTAGGATCGAACTCACAGCCACCTGATTGTGAGGCGAGAACGGCGCCCCTAGGCCACCGCACCGCTCTAAGGAAAAAGGCCAGTTGTCTTTTGAAAAAGGCTTGGCAAGGTGCTGCCACCTGCTGGAGTTCCATGGAATAGCCACATATAAAGAGCGATTTTGAATAAGGAAGGTGAATGGAGAAAGAAACACCTTGGAAACAGAAGCTATGAGAAGACAGACCCCCTCCCCACCCCAAAAAATGGAGGGAGGGGCAGCTTACCTAGGGTTGGTGTGCTAGGCCTGCTGGTGACGGCGCCAACGCTCAACCGGGGCACGGTGATCCTGCCAGCAGCGGACGAGATCTGGTAAAAAAAAGGAAAAAAAAAAGCAGACTCTGTTGAAATGATAGAGCACACCGGTAGTCCTCAGTTTACCACAGTTCACTTAGTGACAGTTCAAAGGTACAACGGTGCTGAAAAAAAGGGACTTGGGACCATTTTTCAGCTTCACCTTTACGACGGATGGCACAGGGAATTGGAAATCCCTGCTAGAAATACTTCGAAACTTCCTCCCAGAGGGGAGCAACAGAAACAGACTATGAAGTGGGTGTGGTGCGGGGTCTCTAACAATGCTTTGGACACTAAGCACACAGCACTTCTAAGCAGGATCCTGAATTGCAGGAAGCCAGCTTCCTATAATCTTCTCCACTGTCCTCACCACTCTCTGTAGGAACTTTCTATCGGAGGCAATGTGGCCACTGAACCAAACAGGGATGCAGTTGGTTAAACGCTCTCCACCATGACTCTAAAAAAAATGGCCAGGACAGGAGGAGAAAGGGGTGCTCTCCTCATCCGACACAAGAAAGGGCAGATGCTGGTCCGCACGCTTCACTAAGGATGACGTGTGGAGACCAGATTGTTAGTTATTTGCCCCCCCGATGCTTAATATGGTAGACCACCTTTACCGCTACATCCTTGCTATTGAGTGGAGTATGATCATGCCGGCTCTTTCTAAAATCTATGATGATCTCCATTGTTTTATTAAACAAAGCTTTCTATAATCTTCTCCACTGTCCTCATCACCCTCTGTAGGGACTTTCTATTGAAGGCACTGCAGCCACCAACAGGTATGCAGTTTGTTAAAACGCTCTGCTTATCTGCTTCTCAACTTTGCCCGTTCCTTCCCTCCCCTCACTCTGTGTCATAAATCACATTACCCAATAGATACACCCATCTCAAACCAGCTACTGTGAGATCCAGCTCCGCCGACAGTATGCATGGAATGTCAATGTCAGCCTCTTAAGGATATTTTCCACGCCATCATGGGAAAACAGCATTCATCCGGTTAGCGCAGGGGTCCTCAGCCTACGGCCCGCGGGCCGGATACGGCCCACCAAAGCCATTCATCCTGCTCACATGGAGCCCCAAGGCTATCCCACCCACATCGACCCACCTACCTGCCAGCCCCTTCTGGAGGCCAAAAACGGGGGGCGCAGAGACCTCGGGAGGTCAAAAATGGGCGTGTTTTTGGCCCCCCCCTCCCCCCCACACACACACACACACACACACAC